AATGATTTTTATAGTGGCATCCATTTTTGATTTTTAAAAGTGCAATAAAAATCTGTATTTACTTATTACCTTAGTTTTCATAATTATAGCAAGAATCATAATAATAGAAATTCTTAGCTCTATCTTATGGATTTTACTACTATTATAAAAGGGTGCATAAATCTGAACCATAATTTGATAATTCATCATATGGTATTAGGATTTATAAACTTATTTTTTAAAATAAGTTTGTTGGACATATGAAATAAAGGAATGTTTGTATATTTACTAAATATCATCTGGCTATAAACTGGCAATGATTAACCATACTGCTAAATGCCTTTGGTATCAGCATTTTTCTCACTGCTATTAAACTGTTGAAGCTAATTAATTCCATGCAGACTATTATATTAAAAGTAAAAATGCAGCTAATTATCAGAGAGTTTTTTTTATTAATTTTCCAATAAAATTGTTCTTGCTATATCCTAATGTTAACAGATCATCCAAAAGAAATATTTCATATTACTGATCTCCCTTTCATGATATTATATTTATTATTATATTTATATTTCACCTTTTTCTATGAGAAAATTATTACAACTGAAGACTCCCAATCATCTCTTATTTACAAACTGACCAAATCAGGAAACACAGGTAGTCTTCGACTTACAAGTGTTCATGCAGTAACCATCTGAAGTTACAACGACACTGAAAAAAGTGACTTATATGTGTTTTTCAGTTACTATTGCAGCATCCCTATGATCACGTGATCAAAATTCAGACCCTTTGCAACTAGCTCATATTTATGATAGTTGCAGTGTCTCAGGTCATGTGACCCCTTTTGTGACCCTTTGATAAGCAAAGTCAATGGAGAAGCCAGATTCACTTAACATTCTTGTTACTAACTTAATAACTGCAGTGATTCTCTTAACTGTGGCAAGAAAGATCGTAAAATAGGGCAAAACGCACTTAACAAATGTCTAATCTTCGTTGAATAAATTATCATCAGTCAAGGATTACCTTTACTGTTGTGCTAGAAAGAATCACAACTGTCCAGATAAGGGGTAAATTATGCAACAAATGTTACAATACTGCAACACAAGTTCCTCCCCTTTTGTATGTGCATCATAACATCAGTTACACGCTCACCGAATAGGCAAAACTTGGGTCACAATTCTTGCTTCGTGTCCCTGACAAAACTGTTGGGATTCTATAGACACAGCTGGAAAGCATAAAAACATCTTGCAAGAGAATGCAAATCACTTCCATATTGTTGTTATATGGATATGACTATTTAATTATCAGAAATAAAATTCATAGGAAACTTCTCTATTTAATGTGTCTTCAAGGATAAGGATTTTTCAGCTTAAACTACTGTGGAGTTTTAAGGAAGATCCCATTTCTTAAAATTTATCTCTTTCTCTCTGTTACTTTGACAACCTACCTAATGGGGAAAGATATGCTAGAGAAATCACTTGGGTTTTTGTCCAGCACACATTATCCATACTTGGAAGAATGCATACTGAACAAGCAGTTTAGTACAGAGAGGGAAATTATGCAAATATATATAAATATAAAGACTAGCTAAAATGTTAGTTATTCTTATGAATTGTTACAATGTTTTCTGTATGTGACTGTCCTTGAAGTAAATCAATAATCCAAGAATTTAGGATCATTATAGTAATTTTAAAAGAACTAAATGCAATTTGAGATGGCAGTCAACATTTTTAAATCTTTGGTGGTCGTGTAAAAAAAAAAGCTTTTTGGATTAAGATATGGTGGAACATTCAGAGAATTTTTAGAAAGAGGGTAAAATTTACTCCACAATTGTTTTTGCTTGGTATTGTTACTGATTGTGATGCTAAGGAGGTTATATTGATGTTGAATCTGATTACAGCCGCAAGGCTGTTAGTAGGTCAATACTGGAAGAAGGAATCTTTGCCTACTTTGCAAGAGTGGTTTTTTAAAGTATCTTACTTGGCGGAAATGGCAAAGATTTCGGCTTTCTTAAAAGAGCAAACGCAAGAGAAATTTTTTGCTGTATGGGAAAAATGGATAAATTTCATACAATTTAAACTGGATTTGAAAAAATATCATTTAGCTTTTTTATAACCTGTATTTTTCTATTTTAAATACTTTCTCTTTTTAAGGATTATAATTCTTTTTTCATATATATTTTATTTTTAATTATCTTATAATTTTGTTAATTTTTTTTTAATTAAGCCTATATTCTGCTCTGGGAAGCTCCGGGGGGGGAGGGAGGGGGTGGTTTGGGAGGGGTTGGGGGAGGGTTGTATTGGTTTTTTTTTTTGTTATTGTTTTTTTTTTGTCTTTGTAAAAGTTTTTAAAAATTTTTCAATTAAAAAAAAAAACATTTTTAAATCTTGAATAACACCCAATCATAGGATGAATTGCATCTTCCCATTCAGCCTATACAACCTTATGAAATTTTTGCAGGTTTTATCTGCAGGACACGCCCTTTTTTCTTTTTTTCTCTTTCACCTAAATGATTTAAGGTCATGGTTTTCAATTCATTTGACCTCTGCATGATTAATTATTACAATAATACAAACTCTTGTATGAAAAATTACTTTTTCCTCTAATACCAGGCACTGTCTCCTTTAGCAGAAAAACTTCAAGTATGTAATTCTTACAACTGTTTTCTAGTCTCTGACATTAACTGAGAGGAATTTTTCCCCATTTCACTATGCTTTTTTTTTCAGCTGTGCAATGTTTGAGGGATTTCTTGCATGTACAGCCCATTTCAAAACACCCACAGTATCTCAATGGGATTTAAACCTGGGCTTTAATTTGACCATTTCAGAACCCTTCATTTCCTGGAATGTTTAGGGACATGGTCATATGGCAAGAATGACTCAACTTTTGATCGAGCTTCAACCTTCTGACAGATGTAATCACATTATCCTCAAGCATTCTTGGGTGCAATGAAGAATTATATAGTGGATTCTGTGATGGTGTGCCATCCAGACCCTAATACAGCAAAGTAGCTCCAAAGCATAACTTTGCACCATCATGATTTATCGTTGGTAAGAGGTTCTTCTGGCAAAATGATATCATTGGTTTTGTTTAAACATGTCTTGTAGTGTAGTGGCCAAATAATATTATTTTGCCTTGTGTAACCAAAAGAAGTTGTGATCTTTGCCTATATCTAATTTGTGCAGTTTTTTTCTAATAGTAGACTCATGAATTCTGATATTAATAATGGTGACAATTATCTTTATGTCACACAATACAAGTCTGATTTTTAAAGATTTTTTTTCAACATCCTGCGTTCTGTTCTTAGGGTGAATTTGCTGAGATAAGCTAAACTTGTTTGAAATCTCCACTTATACATGATTTTTCAGATAGCGGAATGACTGATATCCAATTGTTTGGCAATCTTTTAAAATCCCTTCTGAGGGTCATAGGCATCTTTAACTTTCTTTTGGAAGGGCTCAGAGAGACCCTTTAATCTAGGCATGGTGATATCACATAAAACAACAATGAGCCAATCAAACTAAATGTCTCATGTTTAAATAAGACTGCACCTTTCTTGATCTAATCTGCATTTATGTATATTTAAATTACACAATGGAATATAAAATGTAAAAGTACATATTTGTTATATTACATCCTCTTTATATACTAATATTGTTAAAACAAAGATCAAATATATGTATGTTGAAATACGTTATAAGGAAAAATGTCAATGAATATATTTATTCAATTTTTCAATGGCACAGCTTCTTAACATTTTTTCTAAAATCACCTCCCATATTTTTCATCTTAACTACAGGTATAAGCTAAATGATCATCCAATATACTTTTGTTATCAACCAAGAGTTTCATGATTTTCAATTAAAGAATGATCATATAATTCTTCCCATTTTATTATATAGTTAAACTAACATGTATTTGATGTTTCACAGATGAAAGAAAAACTGTACAAACATTATTGTACAAATCTTATTGTGTAAAACTTAAAAATTAAGATGTTTTAATGACAAAATCAACATAAAGATTCTTAAGCAGTTAGCATTATTTCTCTTGTGCTCATACAAACACAGAGACACTGAAAAAACCACTCTACCATATAAAATCTTTTAGAACTAGACAAGCAATGTGCCACTTCAAAGTGATCGCCATATATATTTATTTATTCCATCTACTTTTTACATAAATAACCAGACTTTCATATTTCAAATTAAAGCAATATGTTGTTAAGTCATTCAATGAAGTTAGTATCATTTGCTCAAAGTCTGACAATGCTTAGGTACCAATTATTTTGGTCTTAAGTGATTGGGTATATATACCTCCTGACAAAGGATAAGTTCTACTGCAAAATATTTACAGCTCTATTATTTAGAGCTTTATTTACAGCTCTATCTATATTAACAAAGAAATGATATGTGACACAAAAGGGAAGTCTGAAGCTCCAAGGCTGAGTTAAGCGATAACAAATCAGCAACAGCTTATTGATATATAAAGTTTTTTTAATTTTATCAAAATTGTTTCCTTGTTTGTATTTCAAATGACAATGTCCCATTACCATTTCAACAAACCATATATTCATCAGTTTCAGGGAAACTGTTAGGATACATGATTACAATACAAAGTTATATTGAAATGGTTTCATTTTATTAATATTTCTATATTAAAGACAAACAGGATCTGAAATAAGGGCTTTAAAGACTTTCAATTTTGTTAGTAAGTTGTATTTCTAATTAATTAAAATATTTAAGTTATTAAAAACGTATTGAGAACGCAATTGAGCTGATGTGTTATTAATCCAAGCATTTGCAACATCAGATTTTATTATTCACTAAATTAGTGGATCAATTTTATTGTGATAAAATTCCTTTAAATGGTATTTTCTTTATTTTACTCATGTGTGAGAAGAAAAAAATCATTCTCCCTCTATTGATGGCAATAACATTATCATCATCTTTCTATTAATACATCCCCTTGTGCACTAAAAAAAGAAAATCTAAGTATACTGATACTTTCCTCTTGATTTGCAGTGCCCTTGTTACTTCCACCAGACTACTTCTGTACTCAGGAGCATATGTAATAAGATATTTCATTTGGGAAGCAACTGTAAGTATCAGTCTACTTTTGCCAATTTAGAATTGCTAATGAAGACATAAAAGTGGTTGATGGCTTCTATGTTTTAGGATCTATCATCAACATTAAAGGAGCAAACGGTCATAAAATATGCCATAAACCAGCCATTGGTAGAGTAGTCCATGAAGGCCCTAAAAAGGTATTCAGATGCCATGTTTCTATATCTGCATCATTTACCTAAAAAGTGCTAACTGACAGAATGCGCCCAAACTCTGGGACACATGGAATTGAAATTTGGCAAATTTTATAAAATACTTTATGGCATAAAAATTATCAAAGAATTTTATGAGAATACAAAATGTCATAAAAAGTGGTCAATGCCTGATTTTTTAGTGTACTATATAGTTCAACATGAGCTACTTTCAAGGCAGATTCTCAGTGAATGTTTAAGAACTTTTCACGTACATTAGAAATTCTAACATTCTTGAAGGCAGTGAGGAATCTGGTAAGGAAATATCTCTAAAATGATAACCCAATGAATCAGATTGTCTAGTTATTCAATAACACTTATGTGCTCTGTATAGAGTTCAATGTAGCATCTCAGGCAATTAATACATTTTCACCTGTGCTTTGAATTGCCATTTTCACTTCTCATGACATAACACTTATACATAGACAAAATTTAAGCAGCTTTATAAATGATACGAAACAATAAAATATCTTACAACAAATGAAAAGCAGAATAACTTCAATTTATTTAGCTTGCTACCTGAAGTGTAGCCTATTAGTAATAAGTGACTTAACCTTTATATATAAAACTTTATCCATTTGATGTTTTACTCTACTTATTATGGGGGGGGAAACCCTAAGCTCTTTCAAATATGAAATGATGGATTTGGCCACTTTAAAGTCAAAAATGAAGAAAATCTTCCATGCAATACACAAAGGAGAAAAGTACTAAGTTTTTCCACTAAGTTCTTCCACTTCTTCATGCTTGCTACCCACTTTCCCGTCTCAAAGTCAAAAAGTTTTCCTTGTTTTTCAGCATTTCTTTCTCAAAGAAACACCTCTAATTATCTACTTAGTTATTAATTTTATCCAAAATAGGAATCTTTAGTATGAAAAAATGTTTTCTATAAATGAAGTTAATACATCAAATAGGTGGATATTTTTGTTCTTGTATTACAGAAATTCTTAATTTTAAATAAAAACATGCTTGGTACTTATTTTAAATTATGAAATGGCTCTAGCCGGCAAAAAAAAAAGATTGCATTAAAAATTGCCCCAAGCTGTTAAAGATATTAAGACATTATAGTTATTAAAATAACCTGCATTCTAGTCACTAATTATTAACATTAAAACTTGAAATATTAACTAAAAAGTATATATTTTAGAGTATGATCATTATTTCACATATATAGAAATATAGTTCCATAACAAACTTCAACAACATCATCTAATGCTATTAACTCACAGGGAAATAAACGTCAGCACTGACATTTAGAAGCCTTCCCAAACACACAACTAAACTTCAATTGGTCTAACTGAATATGCAAAACTATTTTAAAAACAAGTGAAACTAATGCTATTACACACTGGTATTTCCAAACAAATTAATCTTTATTTATCCTAAACATAAATCCATAATCAAAACTCAGTTATGGCTCTCTAGGAAAACACATCAATAGGCTATCAAATTGAGCAATACAAACTTGCACATACATTAAATCATTATGTATTTTCACTCTGAATAGCAACAAAAAGTCTGATAAATTTTGTTCAGAAAGTATATAGAATGTTCCTAAAGAGAAAAAAATCTAAATATACACTAAAAGAATTAAACAGTTTAGATAGATATGTAAATTCTCTTACCTGTCTTGTGACTGTTCCTCGTACATTCTTTCTTTTCCCTCCTTAAAAAGTCTTATAGCTCGTTTTGACTTTTTCATGAGACTATCAATATAGATTTTAAAATATTCATTTTCACTGAGCTGTGCAAGTTTCTGGTTGTCATCATACTTGCTCAAAATAAGTCGCAAATGTTGGTACGTATCCGGCAAAATGTCAAGTATGTAAGGTGGGCTATTTTTCAATTGAAGTTTGGGATTCTGACATAGTCTGACCTACAATTAAAGAATAATTTACATAAATTTAACAATTAAGTTCACCCAACTCAAAACGTATTGTACATGAGTAAGACAATGGTGGGAAGCTTACACCTAAGCTATAACATTACCTGGAACTCAACTGTTTAATAGAGACCTGTTATGAATGCAGGTCAAAACACTGTTGATTTCTAACTGATAACATCTATAGAAAGAATTTTAGTATTACTAATCAACAAAGAAAAAAAAATAAAAACAGCAAGACGTAAAGACAAAATTGTACTAAAATCAGATTGTCTGATTTCCTCATCATACACTGTAGCTTAATCAAGATACTTAAATATAGCACCTTGCTGATGACACCTCAAAAATGAGGAAAGAACTATATTCATCTCTTTTCTTCTACATATTTTTTTTTTTACATTTTCCTTCTATTACAAGCCATAGGAAGGATTTAACTGTTCATCATCCTGATAGATTTCAATTCCCAACCCAGGCAGAACTGTTAATCTATTTAAACCACAAATCTATACAAACACTTGTTACCATTGTTATTATTTGATTTATTTACGGTATATCCCACCTTTGTAGAACTCAGAGTAGCATACATAGTGACTGACCCTTCCTTCTATTTTTCACCAAAACATCTTTGTAAAGCAGGTTGGGCTGAGAGTGATTTCTCCCAAATCCCCAATGGGAATTCCATTATACATTATTTGTAAAATCATTTCTCATTCTTCATAAAGAAAATAGTCTTTTATCTTATTAGTAAGCTTCTCACAGTCATCAGGATTGGATGGTCTCCAAATTCAGCAAAATAAATACATAATAAAGATTCTATTTTTAAAAAAATGTATAGAAATGAAAACAGGTTTCTGTCATCACACAGATAAGTCAAAACCTTACACATGTTGCTTGTGAGTAGCAAGTATTCCATCTGACTAAAGAGATAGCAAACCCTAAGAAAGAAAACAGTTCCTCTTTCAGTGGCTCTTCCTTTACCCCATTGGCCAATATACTTAAACAGAAGAAACAGAACAGCTACCTATATCAGTAAAGGTTCTTGCAAAGACCAAAGCCAATTGAAAGAAAAAAGTATACTGTCAGTATTTTGTCTTTTGCCATATGATTAACAAAACATATGTTGTGTGCAAAAAATATACAGGTGGGCCTCAATTTACAACCATTCATTTAATGATCATTTGAAGTTACAACACTGAAAAAAGTGATTTACAACTGGTCCTCGTATTTACAACCAATGCCTCATCCCCATGTGAAAAATAAATTAGGTTACTTGGCAACCAACATGTATTTATGAGGGTTGTAGAATCCCAGGGTCACGCAATCACCATTTGAGACCTTCTCAGCCAGCTTCCAAAAAGCAAAGTCAATGAGGGAAGCTAGAGTTGTTTAACAACCATGTGATTCACTTAACATTGCAGTGATTCATTTAACAACCATGGTAAAAGGTTATGAAATCACGTAATAATTCCCTTACTTCGCAATAGAAATTCTGGTTCCAATTATGATTGTAAATTGAAGACTATCTGTACCAAGTTTCCTTCTCAGCTAGTGCTACATTTCAGCTATTGTGTAGCTATTTAGTCTGTTTATTTAAATGTTTTAATAAATAAACTATTACAATATTTCATCTTAAATGAATCAGTCCAAGGATCATATTTGGGGTTTCTGAACTTATTTTATAATTCAACTTTCAGATAGTTGTATTATTTTACAGTTTATATGACCAAGACGACCTGAAAGCACACCCATTTTGTAATAACAAGATGTAGTAACATAACATTTTAACAAATTGAATTTGTCATGGGAATTTTAATTCCCCATTAAAATATGTCCACTTGATTATTTTCTGAAGTTTCAAGAATTCTTTACTCTCAAGACTGAGTACGTATTTTGGTATAATTTGGTTGGGGTAGTTATAATTTAAAGTTTACCAATTAAAATAAGGAGAATTCACCAATGGATTTATCTCTGACCTGCTATCTTCTGAGAGCCAAACCAGATATGTCTTCAAGAGCTGAGATCAAGTTAAGACTGGATCTCCTAGCATGAGGGGGCGTGTCAAGTTTGGCTACATGGTCTCAAGAGCTGGCAGACAGAGAAAACCCATTGGTGGATTATCCATCTCCTGTACTGGAGAATAGCCAAGATTTCTATTTCGTGAAAACTCAAGTTGTTTAGATTTTTCAAGGAACAGAAACAGAAATTCTACCCACATACTTCTATACCAATGTGGATATCTGACTGTAATTGCACCATGGAAAGTGGTCCTTGTAAGTCTGTTCTTAAACAATTCTTCATAAGGACAAACTTCATTCTAGATTAAGACTGCACTACTGCAGAAATCTGAATCAACAGAAACATTTCACCAGCAAATAATAAGGAGCAATAGTTTCTTTAAAAATGTTTCATTGATTATATATTTTATAAGGAATGAGGTCAAAAAGCCCCGAAACAGTTTTTTAAAGTATGAAAACTATAAATTAGGTATTCATATGGATCTGTACAAGTAAAAAGCAAATTGGCCAGACTTAGTAGCAAAGATACTACATTAAAATTTAGTAAACATATACTTTATTTTTTCTTACAAGATTATCATTCTATTCAATACAAAGGATGCTAATAAATATTTATTTATATACAGTAAATGAAGCAGGCTTCCTTAGCACAGGAAATCAGAATGGCCTCACACCCTTTACACCACTTCCTCCTGTGCAGAGTTAATGACTTTCAGGTGCTAAAAATTTGGCCAGAATAAAATTGGGTCAGAGGGAGGAAGGGAAGGAGAGAGAGAGAGAGAGAGAGAGAGAGAGAGAGAGAGAGAGAGAGAGAGATGAACAGAAAGACAGACATCAGCTAACTATCTAACAAGCAGATTCCAAAATATTTTAAGATTTTTTTAATGCAAATAGATTAGATTAAATAAAAAAAACGTGTGCCTGTTAGCAAAATTACAACTGAAAATGAAATGTCAATTTGAAAAAACAGTAATTTATTGATGACATTTTAATTTGTTGAGCTGATAGCTGCAATTTGTCAATTTTTGATAAATTACTGATTTTCTTCATTCAATATTTTCAGAGTGTAATTCTCCATTTTAAAATATACTTCAATAAAAGTGAAATAAATAACAAATATATCTTTTACTTGCTGAGAATTCTGTATGAATTCTGTCCATATATCAGGAAAGCATTCAAGTTGGAAGAGTACTGGACCAGTTTATAGATTGTTTTATTCATTAGTTATTTAACAAGGCTGTGTCCTATTTCACACTGACCAGTTTACATACCATAATATATGACTACATATCACACCAAGCCCCATTTCCCAATCCACATTACTTCTTAATATAAACTCAGTCACAGTCAAGGTACAGAATTTGCTATCACAAGATATAGCAACAAATCAGAAAAATCAGAACTACTAACTTGAATTTTGACAGGAGACAATGAGGGAAAAAGCTGTGATGTAAGTTAGACTGGTATCATAGAAATAAGTATTGGATAACAATACTTACATTTTGTTGTGAACTATTATTTATTAAGAAAAGTAATATACAAAATTATACATTGCCTATTTATAGAAGAGATTTAAAAAGTTTTTACTTATGCTTATATAATAGGTTTTTCTGTTTAAAAATATTAACATGAATGGAATACCACTTCAAATATGGAAGTTTTGTATCACAAGAATACATCTCTTCTGTCTTCCATTCAGCTTTCAAAAGATCTTTCTGATAATCAAGATATATATCAGAATGAGGGATTGCTACATAGGTTATTGTAAGATTGAAAAAATATTCTAAATTAGATGGAGAGAAACACAATTTTGAGAAACAAATTCAAATATCAGAACAATACATTATTCAGAATAACACACTGAATTGCAATGGGCAAAGAGCAAGCAGGAGACTGGAAGTTGTTTTTGAACTTCCATATCTTAGAACCTTGCCCATTATATGAAGACTCTTAAAAATCATAATGATGGAAAACATATTCTATTCTAAATAGAAAAATTAAATGTTTTTATTTAGTTTTAGTATCAGTTTTAATATTAAAATATCATTGAAAAGCTTCTCAAAGTTTGATCCCAAGAGTGATAATGTTTGATTAAATATAGACCATCTAAACACTTAAACAAATTTTAATGCACAATTTTCTAAATCCAGACTTAATTTATATATATTCTGCCATTTTGTATGGGGGTGTGTAGGGATGGGGACATGCTGCCATGTCTGCAAATAATTCCCTGTACTCTCAAGTTTTATGTTGCAGCACATAACCTTATTATCCCAAACCATCTAGCATCCAAGAAGAATTTTTTTTTAAGATATGCCAAAAAATCTTAGCAGATGACATGCTGCAGAGATTTAAACCTAAAGACATATCTTACTGGAAATTTCTTTCAATTCAGATAAATATTAAAGGTAGTCCTTAACGTACAACCACAAATGAGCCCAACTTTTTGTTGCTAATTGAGACATTTCTTAAGTGAGTTTTGCCTCATTTTACGACTTTTCTTGCCACATTTGCTAAGTGAATCTCTGCTATTGTTAAGTTAGCAACGTGGTTGTTAAGTGAATCTGGCTTCCCCATTGATTTTGCTTGTCAGAAGGTGGCAAGAGATGATTACATGACCCTGAATTTTGATCATGTGACCATGGGAATGCTGCAACAATTGTTAAGTGTGAAAAACTGTCCTAAGTCACTTTTCTCAGTGCTGTTATAACTTCAAATGAACTGTTGTAAGTTGAAGACTACCTGTATACAAGTTTAATTCAGAGGATGAAGAAAATTAAGATGAATTTATAACATGAAATTAAAAAAAAATTCCCAAAGGATACCAAATTTCAAGAGCAATTCTGGTATATTAAATACATATTTCATTGACCATTATTTTAGAAAAATGTAAAAACAAAACACCTAATTTTCAGCTGGAATATGATAAAAATAAGGGGGTTTAACTTTAAACTAAATAAAATTGTATTTTCACAAACACAGACTATGGGAAGGAAAGAAAACACTTTGGATATCAAATAAATGAAAATCTCACTTGATTTTGTTGATCGAGTTCATAAACATCACAAGTATTCGGATTAAGCCCATGATTCCATATACCACGCTAACTCATCAAAACAGTATCAATTATAAGTTTTAATATTCCTGTTTGTGTTTTAAGGTTTTAAACTATCTCTTCTTTAAAAATTCAAACAACCAACAAGAGTTAATTCAAATTATTTTCAAATCCATTTAAAAATATGGTCCCAACTGTTAAGAGTAAACTTTTTCCAGACCCGTTGCAGATGTATTGGGAACTGCTCTGGACTATTTCCACAGATGCGCGTGCACAAATTACTGTGTGTGCACTTGCACAAAAATATACCAACTATATGAGACTGAAAAAATGACATGGCTGCTTCAACCATTTGAAAATATGGGTTAGTTTATAGTACCATGCTCTTCTAAACCAGTTCTTTTGAAGAAATTTTGCAGCTGTAATAATTAATTATTGTAATATGTCATGAAATCTGAAGTAAACAGGCAAGGTATAAATGTTTTAAATAAAAACTAACAGTGAAGAGCTAATATAGTTATATTGTGCATTTAATGCATAGTCAACTCTCATGAATGACGGCAAATATACTTGTCCCAGGATAATGTTGCAATATCGAATTTGCATTGGTCACCGGGAAGTGTATACCATAGCCAACTCTTTTAAAAATATTTTTACTTTGAGAAATAAGACCACAATCAGCAGTCAAATGGTTATGCAAAATGCCCCACATTCAATTTTTGGTATTTCTTGTCAAAAACATCACAACAGAAAACGATGTGAAAGATTCAGGCTTTAATAGGCAAAGTCAGATTGTAAAGCATTTTGAGTTGGTATTGTCAGCTTATTATATTACATTCAATGTAATATAACTAGAATTGCATACTTATGTCCTGTAATTTGCCAACATTTCAAGTTATAGTATTTCACAGAATTATAGAGTAGGAAGAGTAACTTGAGGTCATCATGTCCAACTTCCAGGTCAACGTTGGACTCCAACAAAAGTTTATACAGCCAAGAAAGGTATAACCCACTTCAGCAGGTAATTGTTTTTACTCTTAATAGTTTGTACCTTAAATAAAAGTTTGTTACTTTAAAACTATGAACTAAATGTAAAAGTGTAATTAAAAAAATAAAAAAATAGAGATTTGGAACTGACAATGATTTGGCAACCAAATAAAAAACTTACAAGTCTACCACAGGTTTGAATCAACAATAAATTTATACTGGCATTTTAAATTCTGAACTGATTCTAAGAAAATAGGTTGTTATAGACAACATATGTTTTAATCTGAGTTATTGCCACAATTTCGGTAGTACTAGCTATCTTTCAACAACTTTTAAAAAACACCCAAAGTTGTAGCACATCAGAATTCAGTTCTGGAAAAAGCTATAACTATCTTGCCATACAACAGTAGTAGGAATAATATAATATATAAAACCTATAAGGAACCTGTGTGCCTTGATGACCAACGGAAATGTTTTAAACTGTTTGTATCAGGTCTATTTCTCATTTAGAATCCATGAACTTTTTCATGGAAACATGTGCTATTAGATAAATAGACTGATGGCTTCTTAAAAATGTTTTATATGCTATGCGTAAGAATACTACATAATTCTATGCATTTAGCATTTTTACTTACAATTATGTTGTTTTATGAATGCTACAGTGAAAGCACCTACACAAATCTATGTGTAAAATATAATTTTCAAGGATTGAAAATGGGCCATTGTACTAAGCTTATCACAAATGCTGCACATATAATTTGAAGAACATCCTACCTGCATAACAATACACATTTTTGTTCAGGAAAAATACTCTCAACACTTCCTATCTGTATTTTATAATATATTTTATTCTCCAATAATTTTTTAAGATTTGGTTACATAATTATTTTATCGGGAAATTACAACTGAGGGTAATGTTTAAATTGTTGTTTATCTGGACAAAATAATAAACTTACTTCTTTTTCAGCAGATTTGATTACATGATTAACGTAATGATTAAGGTAAGTATGGATCTCAATCTGATTGACTGAAGTTTCATTTTCAAGGAAACAGTACAACATAAGCCAAAGTAATATATATGAAAAAACTGCATATTACCAAACTTACAATTGAAGAACTGAATATTTAAAGTATATTTAATATTCTTTTATACTGAGAATAAATGTAGCTAAAGGCTAAATAAGCATGTAACAGCTATCATGAACCTGAAAACATATATTGTCTTGTCTAATCCAGCAATAATTCCTGTGTACAGTTACAACTATAATTTACAGACTCACCACTTTATCCATTAATTTCCAAGTTTTTTCCACAGTCCTGCGATCAGCAGCTGCCTGTTTGGGGGGGCCAACTGCATCCTGAATAGCATCAATGAATCCCAGAATACGCCCTTTGCGGGGGTTTCCTCCTCGGCCACCTGGGTTCCGGCCATTGAGGGAATTGGCCATGTGGGATCTTAAATTTAGAAAAGAAAAAAAAATGTAATGCTATGATATTGTTGGTCTCTCTTGCCCAACCATAAAATATATCAATACTGACTTCACAGTTACTGAAAGGAAAAATATATGTAATCTATACTGGGAGTTTTAACTTTAGATGGGGAAGAAGCAGAAAAACCTGGTAATCTTTACCAAGAAAGAAATTTGATCAAATGTCATTATCTGTTAATTGAGCATATTTATGGAAATATACAGTTTTAATTGCCATGTACATTATGCTATTTTTTCCCTTTTAACTCTTTTTATACCTTTAAAAATGTTATCAGCCCACAGTGTTTATGCTCACTTTCCCATGTTAAACGTACACTTTCACACAAATAACTCTCTTCACATAATTCTCTTCACAAGGGACAAATACATCTGACGAGTAACAAAGGTTTAACAGCCATATTACCAACCTCCTTCCCCCACCCAGCATCTGGTAGCAGAGGGGAGGTGAAAAAAAATTACATCTCTTACATCATGTATTTAATAGGACAGATACATTTAAAATACGTACAAGTCCGCAACTGTACGCGACACTTGTCTGTGGGTACCGTTCTAGTTTTTAAAAGTACCAAGAAAATAAATTCCAGAATGGAAAGGAAAGTTGCTTTTGTAAATCCACAGTATCCAAGATTAGTTGCAAACAACCATCAGTCTCCTTTGCCTTTGCCTGGCCAGCGTTGGAGAGGTCGAAGGTTAGGCAACTGTGTCCCCAAGAAGTGCCGCCTGGTCAGCTTTTCTGCCGCCTCACTATGATCTCTTGTTTTCTCTTTTCCCTGCCTCCCCTCCGGGCACACAACAGCCCGCGGCGCAGCCCGTGTTATTAAATCCCAGCAGTTTTCCTGGTTCCGGTTTCTTGTTAAGCGCTCTCCGTCCCTCCGAGCAGCCCGAGCAGCCAGCAGCACCACACGACACGCCTTAAGCCTCCGCAGCGAGGCCGGCAGAACCAAGGGCGATGGGACGCCTCTCCCCCAAGTCGTCGCGGTTGCTGGGGTTCCAGAAGGAAACATGGGTAGTTACTTCGCCACCGCGGGCCCGTTGCGACGGCGGCGGCGGCGGCAGCAGAAGCGGCAGCGCTGTTCTCGCCCGCTCTCGCTCCTGGTTCGGCGGCGCGAGGGTAAGGGGCGTGTGGGGGCGGGCTGCGGGGGCGGAGCTAAGAAAAGGCAGGGCAGGCGGTGGCGACAAGACCGGCTGCAACTCAACCTTCTCGAAACGGCGGGCTAGTTGCCTTGGATTGTCCTTGCCGTATCGGACTCCTGGGATAAGAAACCCGCACGCCGCCTGCGCGCTGAAAACCGCTCGCGCCGGTCCTTCTCACCCACCCACCACCATTCTAACGGTATTAGGGTTCAGTTCCCAGATGTTGCCCAATGAAACTTGAGCGCGCGACAGGAAGCAGGCGCCGGGAGGGGGGAGGGAGACGAATTGAAACAGAGGCGCTGAAAGGACTCACATCCACAGAACACAAGGAAGGAGACTTCGCGAAAGGAAAGGGCAGCAAAGGCACCGAACTCCTTTTCTTAGCCCTCCCTACTTAAAAGAAAATGTGCAGGGCAGCATTGTGCGTATGTTGGTCCTCCAGTGCCTGATTGATAAAGTAAAGGACCAATGGGAGCGCGGGGAAGGACTTCCGGCTCTGCGCTCTCCTCCTCCTCTGACTGTGATTCATGAATCAGTTGGAAAGATGAAGCCGTGGGCGACTTCGGGACTTCTGCAGAACATCTGCAAAAGGGCCGGAAGTAACCCTTACGGAAAAGAGACTGAAAGGATTTATTATTATTTTTTTTGGAAAAGATGACTTGTATAAGTAAATAGCCGTTGATTACGATGCTGGGGAAATGGTTGTATAGTCATTAAGAGAAATGGTATTCGTAGCCCTAATCTTGATGTATTTCCTCACTCCGCCCACGCATGGGCTTGTAAACCAATATTTAGAATAATGTGTCATGTTGTCTACCAAATTAGTATTCCTATAACACTGGAGACAATATATTTTTGAATTCCATACCTCTTAAATTCTGAGTAGACCAAAAGAAGATGGCATTGCATGAACGTTGAGAATTATGTTTACACAATTCAAGGTTTTTTTCTCCCTCATATAGAATCTGGCCAAGGAAGTTGAGCAGCATCACAAAAAAAGTTGTATTTTAATCCACAGCATGTAGTTTAAACTTCTATATTGCCACAAAGAACAAATTTATGTAAGAGCATCCACAGCAGTAGAACACATAGCTATGTTCATAGAACACATAGCTATGTTCTAATACAGCAGGAATTCTTTTTCTGAATACATGTTTTTACTATTATAAATCTGGGCTTCCAGGATCATATGTAGATGAAAGCAGCATGAAAGCACCTGACTTAAGGTATCCAGGCAGCTAGAATGCTGCTTGACATCATAATCTTTTGCTGCTATATAGACAGTGATATTGCCCACATTTGCTATTCCCCACCCTTATCTCTGTCTAGCCTGAAGATAACATTGAGAATGCCAAAGAATAGTATGCCCACAGCCTCCTGAACCTTAACTGGCTTTCCCTTCTTTCCCTTTCCTTTCGCTGATAAAATCAAGAGAAAAACTTAGTTTTGCAGCTTTCAGCATTTACAGGTACCGTAATCCTCGGGTCATTAAGCAAGGACCTGATATAATCATGTCTTCTAACTTCTGCCAATTTTCTCATTGACTTTCGTTATAGGAAGCCAGCAGAAATCACAATTACATGACTGCAGTTTGCTGCAATGTAATTGTGAGCTGGGCACCAAGTGCTCAGAATGCAATCATATAATCACAGGGTCCCTGCAACAGCCCCAACTCCTAGGACTCATCTTAAGTCCCCTTCATTTAGAACCATTGTAATTTTGATCATAACCCAAAAAATACCTGTATAAAGTCTGTATATTAAATACTGAAGATAAGAGGAATAACCCGCTTTAGGAAGCACTATAGAATAAATAAAGCAGTAGTTGTTCCTAGTACTAGAATATCTTGTATGGCACTACTAAAAGTTGATAGATTTCACTATAACTTTAGTTGGACATAAGGATTTTCTATCCATTTTTCATGTACAGATGTAACTTGTTCCAAAATTAATCTCCCCTACACTGCATATCAGGGATGTCAAACCTGCAACTTCACATGATGTGTCATGATATATCACAACTTTTTTTCCATTGCCAGCAATGGGATGAGCGCAGTTTCACCATGACGCATCCAGTCCGTGATCCGGCAGTTTGACACCCCTGTTGTATATTCTTCCTTGTACTAAAGTAATAAGACTGATTAAATTAGTTTATTCTTTATCTTAGATTTCATCAGTATTACAGGCAAAAGTTGTTTTCCCATACTGGGAACAGACCATAAAGAACAGATGATGATGATGATGATGATAGTAATGATGATGATGATGATGATGATGATGATGATATAATGTTGGAAGGGACCTTGCAGGTCATCTAGTCAAACCTCCTGCTCAGGCAGGAAATCCTATACCATTTCAGATAAATGGCTGTCCAATCTCTTCTTAAAAACTTCCAGTGTTGGAGCATTCACAGCTTCTGGAGGCAGGTTGTTCCACTGATTAATTGTTCTAACTGTCAGGAAGTTTCTCTTTAGTTCTAGGTTGCTTCTCTCCTTGATTAGTTTCCATCTGTTGCTTCTTGTCCTGTCTTCAGGTGCTTTGGAGAATAGCTTGACTCTCTCTTCTTTATGGCAACCCCTGAGTTGAACAACTGTTCAACTAAACTTTAAAGTGCACAGCTTAAGTTAATTTTAATTTATCATATTATAAAATTCATAAGTTTAGATTCAAAACCACTTTTCCTCTGGGGAAATTAATTTGTTTTCATTGTCATGTCATTTTTTAAATAATTTTATTTCAGCTGCTAAAACAGGTGCTGTGGACTCTTAACTAAAATGTAACAGTAGTCTAATGCCGTAAAACCACTTCTTTATTTCTTAAATCTACTTCATAATATTACAGAACATTAAATGAATCTGATTATATTAAAAACTCATTGAAATATATCTTTTCAGTTTTTTTGTCAATTTTTTTCCATGTCAGGAAATAGGGCTTCCAATCATACTGATTTTTTATAAATAGTAAAATTGTGTGGCTTTGCATTTTCACTTTTAAGAAAGGAGCTCAAATAATCTTTAGCTTTCATTTGGAAGAATTATTAGCTTTTAAGAAAGGAGTCAAATAATCTTTAGGTTTCATTTGAAAGAATTATTAGCTTTGCTAAATATTTTTGATTGTTTATTGCCCACTTAAGTTGAAGATTGTTTAATTGTCTGGCAATTGAGCAGAGTTTTGTTTTTAATTTAAGATAGGCAAATTAGGCCTGCACTAACCCTGTTAGATATAGGACATGAGAAGGGCTAAAAATCCATTTGAATGAGTTTTTCAAAAGTTTCTATGGAGAATTCTTACTCTTAGTAAAAGTTTCTTTATGACAATATCCTGCAAATAAGAAAGTAAATACTGTAGCTTGCTAGACAAAAAGTGTCAGAATAGATTGTTTTGCAGTCACTCATTTCTTCTTTCATCCTTACCATCTACTACCAGCTGCTTCAAGAGCAGAAAAAGATCTTGGAAGACAAAAAAAAAGTTGTTTTTGTTATTTCAGCTATACAGGTATTACCAGTATAGTCTTGTTCTCCCCTGCTAGACCAAATTCAGCCATCTCAAGAAAAAAAGTGTGACAGAGTGATAGGGGAAGAATTGATGCATCTGAGATTGAAGCTGCTTCTCTAATCTCAGAGAATGATATCCAACTGAGATTATAAGTACCCATGTAATAAAATTTTGGGAGCATTCTTCCTAATATTATAACTTCCAGTGATATGATTTGAAATTAAGATTTTTCTAACCAATGTAAATGTATTTAAGAGTATTAATATGTGTACTAATTGTATTTACAATAGAATCATTTATAATAAATGTGCAAGCTACTTTCTCATCTCTAAGACTCTAAAACTGGAGATGTATTTAGTTTTTTAGTAGTCTTCTGATCCTCAGAAAAGTAATTTGTATTGCTTTAGAGAGCAATAATATAGAATAAAGATGACATACTTGAAATTATTGTGAGGAATATAAAATAGATAAAAGGATCTGTCAAAAATTATTTGAGGGAATATGTAATTTAACCAATTAAATTACATAATAGGCATAGTGCTTTTTTACAGTAGATTTTAGACAATTTTGTTGCATTTATAATTACATTTTATAAAGGGGATTTATCTTTAGAAGGTAAGATTATTTTTGGATATTTTTGAGGCCTTACACTTTTAAGCATTGCCTAGAAAAAATATAAGTAATAAATTTTGTTCCTATCAGCTTGTAATGTGCAGGCATTGATGTATTTCAGAAAGATTTTTTTTAGTGAATGAATGCCAGTGAAGTAGTTCTAGGCTGTCTAATACCCTACAGAAACATATACATACTAGTACATTATGTTAATCTGTAAAATATTAAATTTGAAAGGCTGACTTTTAAGAGCTTACAGAAAGGCAATTCAGTGTAGAAAGCATTACCTGAAATTAGGAAAAATAAAAACCATAAATACAGTATTGAAAATCTCTAGGATTTAAATATACTTTCTTTTTGCACTTGTCCTATTGCATTTACATGCACTGAAATAGGACAGAGTCAGAAAAATTAAGAAGGCTTCCATAATTTAGAATAATTTGGATGCTGAAATATTGATAAAGAAGTCTTGGGTCTCTTATTATTATTGAAGGGGAAGAATCTGCTGGATAGATATGAAGCAACTGCTTACACCTTGGGACATTTATCTGAATCTTTCACAAAATATTTTCTGACTAATAGGAAGATGAAGATCATGAAGCACTTTTCAAACTCATGAATCATTCTAAAATTGCAAAGAGAACTAATAAAGTATATAAATAACTGATAGTTATGAGCACACATGTGGGAATTTAGGACACTGAATTCACTGTATTGTTTGCTATTAATTTCAGTAACATATGTAATTCTGTGATAATTGTCTTCAGTGTGTCAGAGAATTCAGGGATTCTCTGAATTAGTGTATCATTGTGGATCTCAAGTAGCATCTCAAATCATGTACTGTATATATTGAAATATATATACATCTCAAATCATGTTAAACCCACTTATTGCCTGTGGGAAAAACACCAGAGATAAAAACACCAGTTCCTAATATATAAGACAGTCCACCAAGGATCCAAGTTCTAGACCAGTGGTTCTCAACCTTTTTAATGCTGCGACCCCCAACCAGTTGTAAGTTGAGGTCTACTCAACTGGTGCAACACCATTTGCAGAATGGGACTTTTGGCGGGCTCAGCAGGGCAGAGACAGCCTGGACAATTCCTATTGGTTTTTGAAAGCCAATAGAATTAGACTCTATTCAAGAGAGTCTATTCTATTGGCTTTCAAAAGCCAATAGAATAAAAGGGAGTAGCACAGCTAAGGAAAGGGGGAAAAAATGGCAGACTGCATTGTTTGACGACCCCCGTGAAATGGTCGTTCGACCCCAAATGGGGTCCCGACCCACAGGTTGAGAACCATTGGTCTAGACAGACCAATCTGAGCACAGTTCAGATTGGCTATAGGAAATCCCACACACATGAATACTTGGCAGTATACAAAGTCAACAGGACACTAAGGACCATCCTCAAGAAATCAATGGAACTGTGGAACACTGGACAATCAATTCAACTCAACTCAAGACAACTTGCACAAGTGGCTATCAACTATGACATAGAACAAGGTGATAACACTGTCCTGCTGTTCATCAGCATTGGCTTGAACCTCCACAGCCAGATAATCACAAGGATTGAATATAGATATAAGTTCAAAAGTAGGACTACCATCAACCACCTTGTCTTTATGGATGAGATCAAGTTATGTTCTGAATGAATAAGACATTCATTTGCTGATCCACTGATACAGATCTACAGGGAGGACATTGGCATGACACTTGATTGGAGAAGTGTAGAGGTATGGTAGTTAAAAGAGGGAAGGTATTTAAGATTCATGGGATGGAACAGACAATATAGCACACCTACAAATCTTAGTATCCTACACTCACATGACAACCATGGTAATGCAAGGAAGACAGCAACATCCACATACCACCAAAGAACATTACATGTCCTGAAGAGCCAGCTCAGTGGGAAAAACGAGATCCATATTGACTAGTACTGATGATGTTACCTAGTTTGGGTAATGAAACCTCTGCAAGAAAACAACCATGCTCAGAGAGCACCAAACACCCCCCATTTCAACCCTGAGTCACAAATATTTTCCATTATAAGATCCATACTATCAATCATACGCTTTGCCATTTATTAGATAACTTGCTATTATTGTGAGCTGTCCAAAGGAGGACATGTAGACTACCATTGTAAACACCCCAAAGCTCCTTGCAATGTACAGAGATTTCTACCCCAAGTTCAATACTCAGAGGCTGTACACCAGCTGGAAAGAGGATGGGCGGAGTCTGTTGTCAAAGCCACTATCCTTGTTGAACCCCAGAACACTCACAAGTTCACCACTAAGATGGTATGAGTTCTGAGAGAATGTCTGAAGCAGCAGCAAACATGGAAAAAAGATCAAGCAGAGGAAGTGTCTACCACATTAGACAGGACCCAAGGTGCAGACTACGCAGAGAGACTTCAGATACATTCCATCACACAGTGACAGGAGGTAAGATTCAGGCAAAAACAGTATAGGTTGAATGGTATAACCAAGTATTTAACATCGTGTACAGGAATGTCTGCACAATGTATGGACTAAACCAGTGGTGGTGAACCTATGGCACGGGTGCCAGAGGCAGCACTCAGAGCCTTCTCTGTGGACATGCGCACCATCGGCCCAGTCCTAGACCTTCAGCTGGGTTTTATAAAACCTTTTTGCTTTAGGCCTCCGCCGCCGTGTGCAAAAAAAAAAGGTTCAATCAATCAGCCAATTTCAATTTCTCACGGGAAAAAAAAAGATCTTGCAAAGTTGGAATTGATTGATTGAACCCAGTCTGCTGTTACCACCGCAGCCATGCCCACCCAATGGGCCACACCCACCCAATTGGCCATACCCAGCCAATGGGCCACACCCACCCACACCCAACGATGCATAAGTGGGTTTTGGGTTGCAGTTTGGGCACTCAGTCTCTAAAAGGTTTGCCATCACTGGACTAAACTCTGCCAAGTCCAGATTCCACAAAAGGTCATGGAGAATAACAGAGCTAGGATTCCATGGAACTTCTTGATCCAGACCGGCAGGCATGTACTGGTAGCTTAGCATTGAAGACCTTGGGGAAACTGTTAAGAACTCTCCTAATCTCTCTGAACAAATATAGCAGGAGCATTTAGAGCTCTATATATAGAACTCAGTGAGGCAAATAACATGAGGCTCCAGAGTTTGCCACATTAAACACCTGCTGGCTGGGATATCCAAAACTGAACCCAGCATAGAGACTAT